CGGCCCCGGCCGTCCTCCCCGACGGCCGCCGCTTCGTCCCGGACTCCGGCTGCGCCTCCATGACCCTCCGCTCCGCGGCGCCCGCTCTCCCGTCCGCCGCCCCCGGCGCGCCCGCGCCCGCGCCGCCCTCCCCTCTCCACGCCGCCGCGCGCGTCTTCTCCTGCCACGCCTCCTACGACCTCGCCGTGCGCCGCCGCGGGCGCCACGTCCTGCGCCTCCACTTCTACCCCTTCAGCCCCGCCCTCGCCTCCGCGTGCTTCCACGTCGGCGCCGGGGGCTTCCTCCTCCTCCACAACTTCACCGCCCCGTCCCCCGTCGTCAAGGACTTCCTGCTCCCCGTCGACGCCGACGTCCTCGTCCTCACCTTCGTCCCCGAGGCCGGATCCGCCGCCTTCGTCAACGCCATCGAGCTCTTCTCGGCGCCCGACGAGCTCGTCGGCGACATCGGCACCCTCGTCGCCGCTGCCGGCGTCAACCGCACCGACGGGCTATCCTCGCAGGTCTTCGAGACGCTCTACCGGATCAACGTCGCCGGCCGCAAGGTCACCCCGTTCAACGACACGCTGTGGCGGACATGGGTCAACGACGAGGGCTTCCTCGTCAGCAAGGAATCGTCCAGCAGCAAGGCATGGTCATTCGGTGGCCGGATTGCTTACCCCAAGGACAGCAGGTTGATGACCCGGGAGGTGGCTCCGGACAACGTCTACAACTCGGCGAGGTCGGTGAGGTCCGACGGCAATTTGACATGGGATTTCCCTGTGCCCGCTCGCAACCGGTACCTTGTGCGCATGCACTTCTGTGATATTGTGAGCAAGGCATTGTATCAGCTCTACTTCAGTATCTATGTCAATGGTCATCTCGCAGCGAAGGATTTTGACATTTCCAGCACCACTGGATACTTGGCCTATCCGTATTACATCGACTATGTTGTGGACGTTGACGATGAAGGGATGCTGAAACTGGCCATCGGTGGCTCGAAGATGAGCCGACCTGGAGAGGCGAGCGGTTTCCTGAATGGGCTGGAGATAATGAGGATGAACAAAACGGGTGGCGGCATGGACGTGGATTTCCCTGCTGTTCTGGACATGGGGTACCTGGTCAGTAAGGGGTTTGGGGAATTCGCTCGCTCACTGCTGTGTGGTTTAGTCTTCGCCGGGCTGTTTTTGGTTTTTGTCATGCTGGTGCTGAGGTTGAGGACTGAGCTGAAAAATAATGGCACGCTTTGGTTCAGCCAGTCAATGGATTCTGGTGACGGGAAGTTGGCTAAAGCATATCAGCTTGTGCCCACCAAGACAGACTATTAAGCATCATGAGATTTGAGAAGCTTCAAATTGTGTCTGTTATCTGTATCTGATGACATAATCTTGTGCTTCGGTTGTAAGTATTGTAGTTTACTAGTTTTACATTTCTACGCCTTTCATGGTTGAAGTTTCAATTGTTTGAGCTTGGCCAGTGCAGAACACAACTACTGTGTGTACTTAAGAATTAAGATGTGTTTGTATTGCTACTACTTCGCTTACCTCTATCCAGTAATTGAAATATCATCGAATACCTGTCTGTGATGTCTTTATTTATTTTATCATGGTAGTATGGTACTATAATTCCATTATGCACTTAGGAGAATCCTTCATGTGAAATGATTAGTTATATTGAAGACATTACTGGAAGCAAAATATTTCTTACAACTGGAGAATGATTTAGTTGTTGTGAGGGGGAATCTGTTGGTTCAAACCAATTAAGGAGTACTTGCAATGTTCCTTGTAGTCATCTCATCAGTAGGCACATCTGTAGTCTGGACTATTTGCGGAACCATGTCTAGCTAGTTGAATACTTGAATTTATGTTTGACCCCGTGGTGGATTTAGTCTTAGTGCCTACCAGATTATGATGCCTTGGGAATTTCTTCTCATACTTTGCCAATTTTTTTTGTGTGTGTGTTTGTGTTTGTGCAATGTAACGTTTTTTTTATCTACCCAGCACTAAATGAAGCACTAAAATGTAATAAATGAATCACTAAGTGAAGCAGAGGAATACCTATATTATCCATTGTTTTCTTCAGTATGATGCATTTTTTGCATTCGTACAGTTTCATTCATCAGACTAATAAAATGAGAATCTTGAATGCATTAGCATTAGTAGATCTTAGATTTTAGAAAAACTAGTAGATGTCAGGTAAACGGTATTAATATAATTTTCTGATCCCTTCACTTTGGAGAGCACTTCTTTAAAAAAGGGCAACCTGGTGCATGTAGCTCCCGCTTGCGCAGGGTCCAGGGAAGGGTCCGACCACTTTGGGTCTATAGTACGCAGCCTTTCCCTACATTTCTGTAAGAGGCTGTTTCCAGGACTTGAACCCATGACCTCATGGTCACAAGGCAGCAGCTTTACCACTGCGCCAAGGCAGAGCACTTCTTTAAAGTTTCATTGAAATCTTCAATAATTCTTGTTTGCTCTAGTGTTGTGGTAGCTCTTATTAGTTATTGTAAGACTTCTTTCGTGAAACTGTGTAGGGTATATAGTTACTTGTCTTAGTCTGCTTCTTTTCGTATGCATTGTATCACTATATGTGCCTTCTCAAACTCCTGATATCAGTTTAGTTCATAGTGATTGAGTAGCTGCAGCTCAAAATCTTCATGCTACCTCTTGTTTCTGATTCTCTTGTATTAAGAGTTCTCATTGTTGACATTTTGCACGCACTGATGGTTTAATTTGAATTTAGTTGCTTTATTAAAAAGGAACTACAAGAATCATTCTTGTGAAATAATTTGTTCAACTGAAACTGCTGGAATTGCTATGTCAAAACATATCTTAAGATTGTTGTCTGATTTAGTTTCACAAGGAGCAATCTTTTTTGTTTAACTAATTAACAGATAGTTGTAACGTTTCTTGTAGTTCCACCAATATTTGGAAAGATCATATTGCTACCTCATTACTTCATCAGTAAGCACATTCTTTAGTCTGGATTAGCTTCGTAACCACGTGCATAAATTTAGTTAGTTGAATTACATTTGACTGCATGGTGGATTTAGTCTCACTGTCCTGCTCTCCCTATTATTTTCAGTGTGTTTGTGTTTGTTTAGTGTAGTATTTTTATCTGTCTAGCACAGTAGCACTAACAAAGAACTACAACAAAGCCTTTAGTCCCAACTCCCAAACAAGTTGGGGTAGGCTAGAGCTGAAACCCATAAGAGCTCGAAACCAACTCATGGTTCTGGCACGTGGATAGCTAACTTCCACGCACCACTGTCCATGGCTAGTTCTTTGGTGATATTCCAGTCAAGTTTGGTCTACCCCGATGGCCCGACCTCTCTTGACATTATCAGCATGTTTTAGCCGCCTGCTATGCACTGGAGCTTCTAGAGGCCTGCCCTGAATATGCCCAACCATCTCAGACGATGTTGGACAAGCTTCTCTTCCATCGGTGCTATCCTAACTCTATCCCGTATATCATCATTCCGGACCCAATCTTTTCTTGTGTGGCGGCACACCCATCTCAACATGTGCATCTCCGCTACACCTAACTATTGAACATGTCGCCTTTTAGTCGGCCAAAACTCAGCGCCATACAACATTGTGGGTCGAATTGGCGCCCTATAGAACCTGCCTTTTAGCTTTTGTGGCACTCTCTTGTCACTGAGAACGCCAGAAGCTTGGCGTCACTTCATCCATTCTAGTGTGAAGTAAAACTGTAAAAGTAGTGGATGACTTATCCTAGTTTTATTCTCTAATGCATTTCTGTGTGAATACATACAGTTCCGTTCATCAGACTAATCAAATGAGAATGTATTAGCACCAGTAGATCTTTAATTTAAAAAACCTTGATTGATTTCAGAGAAACAGCATTACTAGAATTTTCTGATGCCATCCTTTTGGATACTGCTCCATTAAAGTTTCATTGGAATCTTCAGTAGTTCTGTTTTGCTATAAGGTTGTGGTTGGCTTTTATCATGATACTTCTTTCGTGAAACTTTACAGGGTATATAGATATTTGTCTTCTGCTTCTTTTGTTGAGTATATCTGTCCCTTCTCGCATTCCTAAAATCAATCTAATCCATGGTGACTGAGAAGCTTTAAATATTGATGTTACCTCCTTTTCTGTTTGTCTTGCATTCAAAATTTACATTGTTGATATTTGCACACATCGACGGTATTATTTGAATGTTGTGAATCATCTAGCGCACACAAAATTTGTGGTGTATTCCTTTTTGACATTTCTGGTACTTGACCCTGCTGACTTTTCCAAACATCTCTGAAATTTATGTTGCACTCTCTCTATTGCCTACTTTGATGGGTTGGCTAGTTCACCTCATCTCAATCGAATACCATGCTTCCAAAGGAATACCTATCTTATCCAGTATTTTTGGTCAGTCTGATGCATTTTTGCGGTCATATGGTTTTGTTCACCAAACTAGTCAAATTAGAAGCTTGAATGTATTAGCACTAGTAGATCTTATATATTTAAAGTACTACTAGATGCAGGAAAATAGAATTTTCTGATCCTGTCACTTTGGCGAGAGCTTCTTCAAAGTTCCATTGAAATCTTCAATAGTTCTGTTTTGCTCTACTGTTGCGGTAGCACTTACTATAAGACTTCTTTCATGAAACTGTCCAGGGTCTATGGTTAGTTGTCTTACTCTGCTTCTTTTTTAAGCAACACACGTGTCTTGCCAAACTCCTGAAGATCATTTTAATCCATAGTGATCTTGATGTCACTTATTGTTTCTGATTCTCCTGTAGTGAGAGCTTGAATTGTTGACATTCTCCATGCACCTACGGTATTATTAGAATCTTGTTGCTTTAAGAGGAACCTCTTGTGAATGGTCTTACATACTCCCTCCGTCTAGGTGAGTAAGTCATCTTAGGTTGTGCACCGTGACCAAGGAGGAGGAGAAAACGAGAGAACTTAATGTTTATTTGCTAATTAATAGCATTGCATGCAATGAACTAACCACTGCATGTCGTGTTTGGTAGTCTCAAGTCATTAAAAGTATGCACACCCCATATCTCTTATTGGTTGATATGTCAAGAAACAAGAACGAGGTAGAATTTAATGCACCGCGTCTAAGTGTTTTGGGATTATTTGGTTTTTGTAAGATGACTTACACACCTAGACGGAGGGAGTACTCAAAATTTGTGGTGTATTTCCTTTCTGACTATTTGACCCTGCTGACTTCTCCAAATATCTCTTAAATTCATGTTGAGCTCCCTGTATTGCCTGCTTCGATGGGTTGGCCAGTTGGCCTCATCTCAACCCAACGACTTTCCTCCAGAAAAATTAACAGATATGGAGAATCTTAGATTTATCCATTTTCTTTGGGTCCAGTAGATGTCTGGGAAACGGTATTATATATAATTTTCAGATCTTGTCACTTTGGAGAGTGCTTCTCCAAAGCTCCATTGAAATCTTCAGTATTCTGTTTTGCTCTGCTGTTGTGGTAGCACTTACTATGAGACTTCTTTCCTGAAACTGTGCAGACTTCTTTTCTTGAGCATTATATGTGCCTTCTTAAACTCCTGAAGATCATTTTAATCCTAATCCATAGTGGTCGAGCAGCTGCAGATCTAAATCTTGATGTTACCTCTTGTTTCTGATTCTCCTGTAGGAAGAGTTTGAATTGTTGACATTTTTGCACGCACCTACGGTGTTATTAGAATCTTGTTGCTTTTAAAAAGGAACCTCCTCTGAATGACCTTGCACAGTCAAGATTTATGGTGTGCTCCCTTTCTGACTACTTGACTCAGCTGACTTCTCCAAATATCTCTGAAATTTGTGTTGACCTACCTGTATTGCCTGCTTTCATGGGCTGGCCAGTTGGCCTCATCTCAACCCAATAACATGCTTCCAGGAAAACTAACAGATATGAAGAACCTTAGATTTATCCATTTATTTTGGGTTCAGAACATAAATTCAGTCAGCCCATCTAAACATAAATGGCCCATCACTCCCAACTGGCCCAACCCATCATTCCCCATTAGACGTGCCTCTGTATTGCGTCGACATTATGTATGTCAATTTTAGTGCTATGGTAAACACTGGGCGAACTGATTGTTACTCTGTGTATCTTAGTAGTTACAACTGAGCCTGTTTTCCTGTAGTTCTGAACTTTTCAGGTTAGCCACTAATTTCCATATCTTCAGAAAAAAGCATTTCAGAAGAGTCTTTTTCGTACCTTCTCAAATGGAAACCATTTAAGAGGAAACACGTCGTAGTCGTGCTGTTTTTTATGGTTTCATTAGTATCATTTGGCTGTAGCAATCTTGTAGGGTTGCAGTCATATGAAGCCATTTAATTATCAAATAGTTTG